TTTTGATTTATGTGTAAGATTATTTTAATGAAAAATGTGTGGTTGAAAATAAGAGAGTGAAAAATGTATTTTGGAAAAATGAGAATTAAACAAAGCTTTAATAAATTAATCACATGAAATAATTTATTCTTCTACCACAATCATAAAACCTTTAGAAATTTATCTTCTTTCCAATCCCTCCAACCCCCACCCTTAAAATTTCATCTTTCAATTAAGTTTTGCCATTAAAGAAATTAAATCTCTCTCATCGAAATTAAATTGATTCCTTGAAAGAATAATGATTAAAAAAATTATGTTTCAATGATGAAATTGATAAAATTTATTCTCATTCACAACCCTGGCAACATAAATTTTTGAACAAAACATGAAAGTCGATTTAAAATATCATGTTAGAATTTTTCATAAAGATCCATACAAAAAAATGGAGCTTCAAGTACCGCATGAATTAACTTAAATCATATCAATTTACCTCCATGAGAAATAGAAAGACTTTCAAAAAAAAAAAAAAAAAAAGGAAAGAAAAAGAAATTGATGAAGAACCGGGAAAAACTTCTAGTAACTTCCATAATTTCAGCACTCTGAAAACTGCCATCTAAATAAGGGGTAAGGGATATGGAGGAAACATGGGATTGGGGAATGTTGAAGTGGAGAACCAAGAGAAGGGGGTATTGATTCATGTGAGGAGATTTTCAAGGGCTTTAGATTTTACATAGCCAGGAAGATGAGTGAACTGTGTAATGACTTTTGATTTTCAATGTTTTATTAAATCATTTTGTAATATCAGAAGATTTTATGGGAATTTTATGGGGGCAAATTTTGTTTTTATTCTGGAGTTTTCATTGAGACTATAACATGATACTTCATTGTGTCTTGAAATGTTGTTTTAGTTTATTCAAATACACACACTAACACTTCATACCACTTCATCCTACCAATTATACCTGATATAAAGTCGTTCTATAACAATTAAAAGCACACATATATGATAAGTACACTACAATATTGTATTATATTATTTTTCATTTTTTTTGTTTTTATTGAATTAGGAGTATAATTGTAAATTTATTGTGGTTTATTTATTAAAAACATATTTTAATTGTGATGTAATTATAATTTAGTGTAATAATTAAAATTTGTAGTGGTAATATAATTTCCCTTCAACTAATAGAGTATTTAGCTACCCTTGAAAAGTTTATCCAAAAGTAAATAAGTTTTAAAATCATTTAACTTATTACAGTTAAAATAAATTACTCATTTTTTCAATGATTGTTTGGTGGGATTAAAATAAGATTTTTAACAATTTTTGATAAAAATTGATGAGATGTTTATTTAAAAAGTTGTGGGTTTATAAAATTTGTAATTAAAATTATTTGTTAACTTTAATTTAAATTTTAATTTATCCCAAATGGGACACATATAGATGATTATTTAAGGGTGCGTTTGATTGCAAGTATGAAATTTGTATAAAAAGAAAATAAATTTTAGATAATTCAATTTTTTAGAACTTATTTGCATGAAAATTGTCAGACAAATGTGTTTGATTGATTTAATTTTCAATTTAGAATATATAATATTTGTCCGATTTTTATTGATGGATAGATTCGTAAATGAGATAGAATAGATAGATGCGAGAGAGAAAGAGAGGGAATCCTACTTCATCTAGTAAAAATATATTTTTTTGATTTTGAAGAAAATATGATCACGTGATTAAAAGTAAAAAAATATTTTTTATGAAAAAATATTAGTCAAACACTATAAAAGAAGAAATTTGGAGGGAAAAGCACATTTTTGATGAAGAATATTAACCCACCCTATAAAAGAAAATACGTTCTATATACACGTGTAGAGAAAAAGAATGAAGAAATACAAATTCCAAATAAAACCTAAAATTATAGACGTCTGTTTCGGTTTCCCACAAACAACATTGAAGACGAAAGATGAGGGCACCTGCCTAAACATGCTTGATTCAGTGAATTCGACCTCCCAATTCACATTATTTCGTTCTCTAATAGCTGTATATAATTGCAGTATGTATTAGGGTTCTAAGTAGGAAGGTACCCTTCTTTCCTTTTCCTCTTTTACCTCATTTTAATATATGATTGCACATATATACGTATATACATTGGGATATTGTTATGTTTTCGATAACTAATATTAATTTTGTTACAATTTGCATCGCTTTTTATTTATTTATTTTTCAGAATGTTTATTTTTTTCAATTATTGGAAATCCTCACCTTACGCGACTTTTTTTTTTTTTTTTTTTTTTTGGGGTTTTCTAGTTTTCAGAATTTGTTGATTTTCAGATGTTGAAAATGCCACCTTATGTGATTCTGAACTAGTCAAAATACTGAAGCTTTAAGGGAAAATATTAACTGAATTGTTATTTTATTTTATTTTTTCCTGGGGTGGGTATAGCATTTCTTTTGGTTCTGGTTATATTTTTCTGAAAATTGTATGATGTGTTATGGGAAAAAAATTTGTTTCGTATACAGCTAACATTATTGCAGAATTCATTTTCTATAGACAGTTATGTATAACATTACTATTTTTCCACGGTGGCAAGTCTTAATGTAGGTTTGAAGTTTTTTACAGATATACAAAAGTTAAAAAAGTTTATTAGCTCTGCTGAGTGCCAAAGCTCAAATGAAGAAAGGTATAAATTTCTTAGACTACCTGGACGTTGACTTGGCCTTGAGTATCTTGACGCGCTTGGACAACCCAGCTGATGTGGTCCGTGCCAGTGTTGTCTCACAGTCTTGGCACCATTTCGGTGAGCTGTAAAAGTTGAATAAGTTTAGCTGTTATTGATGATTGTTGCCATTATTTAAGATGTACTGCCTTAGAAAATATAATTGGCATGAACCATCTTGTTTGCAATAATTTTAATTGGCCATAGATTTGGATTTTTCTGCTATATTGGTACACACGCAGGCACACTTGAATTTCACGTATCCTGTTGTTAGTTATGTGATGTTTCATTTTATTTATATATTTATTTTTTTATATAGATGCTGATCATAATTGTCACATTGCTCTGAGCGCTTGATTCAGTTTGCTAGGGCAAGTCGGTTACATATAATGTTTAACATCTCACGGAACATTAGATGTCCTGGGTTCCTTTTTATCGTCTACAAAAAAGCACGTCTTAGGTTATGTTAACTTAGGGTTAGCCAGTGTTTTGAAGAGTGCCCTTTGACGCTCAAGTAAATGACAGGACATGTCTTAGTTGACACTGGGGCTAGCCAGAGATCAATTGTAGAGGGAAGTCGCATCTTGCGTTTAACCTGGGGACTAATTTACACCGAGTGTGTCCAACTAAAGAAATCTGCATATTTAGTCACGAATAATATGAATTAAAATTTTGAAACCTTCTAGGTAAAGTTGACGAGTATTTAAATTTGAATGATGAAAATGATTACAATTGTAAGTGGAGTCCCTGGAATTAATTCTTGTATTTGGAAATTATGAATGCTAGGCTGGACTATCCTAATCAAATGAGAGCAGGGAGTTCGACGTGTAAGCATTTGCTTGCCCCCATTTTAGTTTTACAAGCTATCAACTCACATTAGGGGGTTTCCATATAGTTCCCTTTCTCTTTTCTTGATCATGGAAGCTTATGGGAAGAGGTGATGACTTAATCCTCACTGAAGAATAATAAGCTTTGGCCTGGTATGGTCCAGCTTGCGAATGAAGTAGAAAATTGGGCCTGGACTGCAGGGGCGGAAATAAGGGGTGGCATGGGGGTCACATGACCCCCAAACTTTTGGGCAATTTTGTCTTCATTTTTGTTTTTGTCTCAATTTTCAAAATTATTACGGAATGTCAAATACAGTCGAAATATTGTATTCTCAATATCATTTCAAAGGACTCACAGCCTAGTTTTCTACGTCGTTAATGGGGTACGAAACGGTCAATAGTAACAAATGTTAGGGTTTGTCAAAGTAGGTTGTTTCAAATTATTATTTTGAGAATTTCGGAAACATGCTAATTTAAAAAAAATTTCGACAATCATATACTAACCGAATCTATATATTGGCTACATCATCTTGAAACTTACTTCGAGAACTACATAATAGACCTATTGAATGTTCCAAACAAATATCGTAAATTGTTAGGGCATCTCCAATGGTTGCACCATTTTACTCCATTTTTTCGTGCAAAGTTACTCTAACGCAACACCAAACTTTGCACCATTTTGGTGTAAAGTGTAAAATGTCTCTTTTGCCCTTATTTAACATTTTCCAAATAAATTTGTTAAGAGTATTTATGTCATTTGTGCTATATGTTTTTCAATACAATAAATTATTATTTACCTATCAAAAAAAAAAAATACAATAAATTATTATTATTTTTATTAATATTAATATTATTATTATTATTATTATTTGCATTTAAAATAAATTTTAAATGTAAGACATAATAATTAATAAATTAATTAAAAGACGAAAATAATTTAAAATACAACAACACGATTATTTATTAAAGTTAACACGAAATATATTAAACAACAACAACATACATACGATAATCTAATTTGATTTCATATGTTCGTTGTTGTGGTGTTTTTATTAATTGTTCCGTATTTTTTATATTTATTAATGAATTTAATTTTTTTTGTAATTTAACGTAATTATTTATTTAGTAATTTATGTATTTATAAAATAATTAAATAGATAATATTTCAAATAAATAAATTATAAAGAATAAAAAAGGGAAGAAAATGGTTAAACACTATTCATTTGGTATAACTTTTGGTGTAATGGTTGTATATGAATTTTAGTTTGGTGCAAGATTTGGTGTAAAATGATGCAAAATTTGGTGCAGGGTTGGAGATGGCCTTAGGTACGTCAAACTTGAGACTTAAAAAGAGACGGCTAACTCGTTTTTTCTGTAAACATTTTGAATTATTTCATTACATTGATTTTTTTTTGCGTGACAAATTTCTCGTCATAATTTACATCATTTTATTAAGAAATTTTACATGGGGTATGACATTAAAAATTTTCGAAATTTTATATCCGAAAAAGTCATACCCCATGTTAATTTTTGGATGTAAAATTCGGATGTAAATTTACATGGAGTATGATTTTTTTCTATGTAAATTTTCAAATGCAAAATTTCTCACAACTTTTTTGAAAGTTTGATTGTGCTCCCTAACTCAAAATCTATGCGTTCGCCATTGCTGGATTGGACACCTATAAATGGAGATGAAGAAATAACTTTGGCCTACTGTTGCCTCACTCATCTCATCCAAATCAAGCAAGCGAGAAGGAAAGTGACAATAGCCTAGACGTTCCCAAGCTAATTTTGCCACTGCCAAGAAGTTGGGTGTTACTTGTGTGAAAATACGTTGCTTATGCGTTTTCATGAAGGACGCCGAGTCACGTCTGCTATCATATGCCATCATCATCTAGCGCCGCCAATAGCCATTCAGTTTATATCTCTTTAGGCCTCGCTGGAAAAAAAAAATTGTCTATCCAAACATCACCCAAAGACATCCTGCCAGCAGTGTCGGACAGTCTGGTCAATCTAATCCTAGTTTTGGAACTGCCAAGAAGTTGGGTGCTACTGCTACTTGTGTGAAAATACGCTGCTTATGTGTTTCCATGAAGGACCGCAAGTCAATTGAGCTGTTATATGCCATCATCATCTAGAGGTTATCTTGACCTGGGGTCCAATGACCATTCAGTTTATGCATATCTTTGGGCCTCCCTGGAAAAAAAAAAAAAAATTCCTATCCAAACACCACCCTAAGACATCCCGTCAACAGTGTCAGACAGTCTGGTCAATCCAGTCCTAACTGGATGAGACGCCAATCTTTCCAAACTGCAGCAAAAGACCGTATGGGTTGCAAGCTCCTCCTTGCCATTGGCCCAGCCTAGGAGATAGTGAATCAAAATGCGTCTGGGATAAAATGGTTGTCTATGAAGCGTTCATCAGTCAATGGTGAGTGGTGACATTCACTGGTTCTGAGTCAATTTAACATTCTTTTGGCAAACATGTGGGACTGTAAATGGATAGGGAAGCGATTAGCTTCTCGGGTGACACAATTAGCTGAGGCAAAGTAGCGGTTAGTGCTGTATTTATCTTTGGCGAGCATGTCCTTTGGAGTCTGAGAAATTCGCTATAATTTTCATCTCTCTAGAATATTAGGCTTACATATTCACTGATCTTTCCTGGAGAGGTGGTTGGAGTGAGAGTAATGCTCTGGAAATGAAATCCTTTTGACAACGACGAGAAACTTAGTTTTGTTTTTGCAAAGCTGACGAGTGGCTACGATAATCGTATTGATAAAATGCAACATTGAAATCAGAGGTCAGTGTAGGGTCCGGGGGGATATATTTTCTTCATTTATGGGGTCAATCTTTTGCTTTTTCTCGAACCCAAGCCACACTCAAGAATCCCCACCTGTCCTCATTAGTGCAGGTCCTCAAGGATTTTTGTCATCCCTAAATTCTACTTTCAAACAACAGAACAGATAATTTTCTGTCTGAGCTAACTCCCCCCCTATTTATGTTTTTCATGCAGTCATGATCATTCTGTTTTGATATCATTGACTACCATAGAAAGACTTCTCACGTTTGCTATCTTATATAAATGTTAATAATCAATTATAAAAATTGATGATGCTCTTCTTATATCATATATGTAAATGTGGATGTCTTTACGATCATTGTTCTGTCTTAATCCTCGTTCTTTTACATAAGATTTATTGCCTCTTCCATTCATTTCATGTAAGAGAAAAATTTAACCGTTCTGAGCAAATGATAATATCAATTATATTGCAGTGGTTGCGAACAGACTTTTTAAACAGCTGTGTCTGAGAATGTTTCCTCATATTTCCGATCTTCGATTCATTCGACCAAATAATGAATCATTATCAGTGGATGTTGAAACTAGCAACCCGATGGAATGGAAGATTCTTGAGAGGGATCATAAAGCTTATGCTTCTCTAATTCAGGCCTTCACAAAGTCTAAAGATAATCCAAAGGATTGCATAGCGTGTGTAATTGGTGCTTCCAGCACAGATCGTGATCCAGAAGAAAGTGTAGTTCATACTCTTTTTCCTATCGACAGATATATGTGGGGAGGCTCATACTGGTCAAGTAAAGGACAGACCAACCCTGATGTGCCTGAGACGTTAATATACAAATTAATTTCTGATGTTTGTGTTGTTACTGAAATTGATATACGACCTTTTGCTGGTGATTACTCAGCTTTCTTAAATTTTTCCTCTTCCTTCCTTTATTGATTTTTTATCGGTTAATTTTATGTACACGTCGTGTTTAAAAACTATTAGGTGCTTGTCATTAACTGTCTTTTGCATTACCCTACAGTCTATTGGGAGCCTGGAAGTCCCGTTTACTCAGCGAAGTCTGTGCGATTCCGAATGGGTCATCTCAAATCCCCAAGGAAGAATGGGATAGATTTCTGGCATTTACCGTTGCAACAACCTGCTGAAGACAAGTTTATATGGTCATACACTTCACCAGAGTTCCCAATGACACAGGTGACCTTTTGAAATAGATATATGCAAATTTTAGGAATTTTTTCTCGTGTTTTTTACCACTCTCATTGGGCCTGCATATTAGTTTCCGTCCGGGTGACAATCAACTTAAAACTGTCACATTCTATGATATGAATAATCCTTATAAGCAACGTCTTGTGAGCGTGAAACCAAATTGAGTGGCAGAAAAGGATTTATGTGGCCATTTTCAAATTTATGGGGAACTAGACTTGGTTATTGCCATTTGGGTTGACTTCCCCAGGGGAAATAATGTCGGGTTTTAACCATTGGCAAGTTAAATTGCTACTTGGAGGAATTGGATAAAAACTTTGATAATCAGCAGTTGGCCCGAACATTGTGATTTTATGCATCCAGAGGAAAGAAACCATAACCATTGCGTATTCTACAAGAATCATGCTCGAATAACTCTTCCTCTGCAAACAGGAAAATCATCTGCAGCAATTCAAGCTACCAGAACCTGTTCTTTGCATTGGTGGATGTTTGCAGATCGAACTGTTGGGGAGGGCTCAGAGAGAAGAAATCGACGGATTATTCTATATATGGTTAGTCCCTTCAGTTAGTCCATTTTTCCTCTTTCATCAGAATTGGGATTTGTTAATTGTTAAGATTTTGTTCAGAAGAAACCGATTGATCATTCTTCTTTTTTTAGAGATCATGGTAAAGCAGTAATTATTGTATGGGTCGTGAAGCAATTTCCTTTACCAGTGGCTGCCATTGGATCTAACTGCTATATTATTTGCATGCTGCAGTGTGTGTTATGTTCGGGTTCTGGGACGTCCCCTGAGTCCTGCATTTGAATTACAGGGCCTTGAAAAATCTGGAGACTTGCAACTGAAGTATAATCCTGAGGCTTTCCATTCTGTTCTGAAAAGTTTTTCTCATGAAGAGGAGACGGATACAGCTGAACCAGAAGAAGGGGCACGGTGGGAGCACGTCCGTCAACTGGAGAATTTGTTGCAGATACAGAGTATCCCCAGCCATCAATTTGTATGGAATGATGATGAGGATTAATTGGATGAATATCTCATTCTGCAATATAGTTACATCTGTATTGACTGGATAAATATTATGTCACACCCATCTGATTTAATAAAATATCGACGCTCTTCTATGATAATGAAACCTACGAATGCATTCAGTTTTGGCAACACACTCCCAAACATGCTAGAGTTGGACCAAGGATCTGTATGTTTTTCAGTGTGTGTGTGCATATGCATATATATTTATGCATTTCCTAAGCCATTAAATAAAGGCGCAAGAAAAGTGGATAGAACTGAAGTAATACTACTTGTAGAGTACAAGTACTGCGTTTTTTTACAAAATAAAGGCATTGATCACATTGATTTCATGTTTATGCTTCTCAGCTTATACCATTATCACTACGATTCATTCAGGCAATGAAACAATTATCAAATGTATACTTCCATTGGACAACATTGAGTTCTACTTCTTGCTGAACAAGCTTTTCAGTTTTCCTCTCTCTAGACGCTCAAGTAACTTCTTGGCACCGGGAATGTCCATCTCGGTAAGCTTCTTGAGATAACCAATAGCCCCATATGAAATCATCAACTTCTTACACTTTTTGCTCAAGGAAAGCAAGGAAAGGCAGGAAATTGCATATTTCTTGGCTGTGTTCTGAGGACTTGGATCGAGCAAGACCACCAAATTTGGTACGCTTCTGTCGTCTCTTTTAACTTCCCTACAATTATGGGAAAGGGTCATCAAACTTGAAATTGCTTGTGATGCAATCTCCCTCACACTGATAGATTTAGCCTCCAGCATTTTTATGAGAAGAGGAATGCATCCAGATTCACCGACTAATCGTTTTATTTCAGTTGAGTTGCAGATTAGACAGATTGCTGAGGCTGCTGCTTTTTGTGCACCAAGAGAACCCGATTTAAGCACTTGGGCCAGCCTTGGTACAAGGCCTAATGAAACCAAAACATCAACTGAAATCGCTCCAACCAAGTTTCTCAATGCCCCAACTGCAGATTCTTGAGGCAGTGGACCATCTAAATAAGCCAGAAGACTTCTTATTCCACCTTCTGAAATAACACATCTCCGAAGATTGTCAGTACTTGATGTGAGATTTTGTAAGCAATCTGCTGCATACTCTTTAGATCTCAACAGGGTTCTTCCGCAATCAAGAAGATCTATCATCACCTTTATAATCCCTTCTTCAGTAAGGGCTTGCCGTACCTCAGGCACAGCGGATATATTCTTCAATGTACAAGCCGCGGCATCTTGCAAAACAGACGCATCATCAGTCTGACAGATCTCAATCAGAGGCCTAACTCCACCATGGCCAACAATTGAGCGCGACATTTCTGCTGACATGGACAGCCTCTGGAGAGAAATCGTAGCCTTCTCTCGACTCACTGCATTACCAGATTCGACAAGCCTTATAAGGGGCGGAAGAACACCTTCGGAAACAAGCCAATTCTCACAACTTCCAGATTCTGCAAGCCAACAAATAACAGTAACAGTTTTTTCTCTGATCCGAGGAGTAGTAGCAGTGAGCAATTGAACTAAAGCTGCAATATTGCTTCGTCCTAAAACGGCCAAGACGTTCTTCTCATCATTTTTCATGACTTCTACAAGGCAATCAAGTGCTTTATGCTTAGCTTCGAGGTGTCCAATCTGTAGTCGAGCGAGCAATTCTCTTATATTGCCATGATCTGCAGCAGCCACGTGTTCAGCCAATGGCAAACTAACCTCTCCAAGCACTCCAGTTTTGATCAGAAGCCCACAATCGCGTAGATTTAAATCAAGTTTACCCGAAAGAGAATCCAAATCACTTTGCATTCTAAGTTTTCCCTCAAATTTCTCTTTCACACAACACTCTGCCAACTCAAATGATTCATTCAATGTCCTTGAAACAGCCTGCAATTGCTCCTTACAGAGTGCATTCTTGGAGAAGAAAGGGTGGCTAGACAAATCCGATAATTTTGAAGGGATTTGTTCCAATTTCGAAATGATGATCTTCCACCTTCCAGGGAATCCTTTAACTTCCCTGGCTTTCTCCAGAGCCTTCGGAACAAGCCCTTGAGCACGAGATAGCCATTCCTCAGCCGACACATTATTAGCCACCAAATTTTCTTTTCCGTCTTCGTCCATGATTCAACTATATTAAAAAAATCAAACCTTAAACAAAGCTGGAAGTACCTGAAAACAGGAAAATCAAACCTTAACAACAACGACCCATATGAGAATTAATGCAGAAAATTCAATTTTTTCAACATAGATCGATCAGAATACCTTATTAACACCGATTATTCAAATTTTGACTACAACCCACGGACTTAAAATGAAAAACTTGGATAAGAAAAAATGAACAGGTAGGTACCAAATAGATCGGAAGACACGAAAGAGAAAACTTCAAAGGAAGTACGAGATTTCCATGTCGGTGGCTTGTTTTCGCAAAATGGTAAAAGGCACAAACTTTTGAAATAGAAAAATTAAAGATGTGGACCAGTTGCAATCATAAAATATTAATCAAAAGCATTAATAAAGAAGAAGGGGATAAAAGATTGGAGGTTCGAGAATCTTGCATTATCACAAAATGCCCGTTTACTGAAAATGATGGCTGGCCGATCCGACAGGTAAAAAATTATCATGGACTAACCAAAAGCCCCCACGAGTTTAATCAAAAGCCTTTTATCAATGATCTTCAAATGCAAAAGAACGTAAAAATAAATAATTATGAAGATGTAAATCGACTGCTGAAAGCCTGAACTGACGAAAGTGAAAGTTCCAACGGCGTTTATTGCCGTCCAATAAATGCAGGTGGAAGAGTTTTGATATCTCGAAAATGCCCTTACACCCATGAAGTACAATCAATTATTTGCATGTTAGATACGGAAGAAAATAAAACAGATTTAAGGGGTATAAAGGTAATCTGGTGTAAATAAGCAGCTTTACTTTTCAAAACCTGTCATGTGAACTGCATGCAATGGATGCTTAAAGATAATCACAGCAGCTTTGGATAACAGTTAAAATTAAAGGTTGACGTTGATCCGTCGAATCCAACGGCAGGCAGGATTCCCAAAGGGCCCCACAAATTCTAATTTTGATTTTTTTTTTTCCTATTTTAAACTTCTTTTCCATGGATTAAGAAATGACTGTCTTGAAGAAAAGATAGGAATCTCCATCTCCAGTTGTTTGCATATACACGAATTTATTTTAATTTCTGATAAATATTTCAAAAAAGAATTAATTACAAAGTTCGTTTTTAAACTAAGTGTTAACAATATTCAGGCCATTGATTTTCAGATTAAATGTATTTGATTGTAGGTATGCAATTTGCATGGAAAGAAAATATATTTTAAACAATTGAATTGCCTGGAAATTATTTGCATTTGTCAATTAAATGTATTTGATTGATTTTATTTTTAACTTATTTTAAAGGAAAATATGATTACGTGACAATACAAAAGTAAGAATTTGGGTGAACCATTTGATTGCAATGATGAAATGTGGTTGGAAAGAAAACAAATTTCGGGAAATTGAATTGCCTAAAATTTGTTTTTGTGAGAATTATCAATTTAATGTGTTTGATTGGCATAATTTTTCACCTGAAAAATGTTGAAATTTTCTATCTTTTGGTATTTGTTTGACTTTATTTTTCATGAAATTTGTTAATTAAAGGGACAAAATTTGTTATAACGGGGGCTATAATTTATTCCAATTGCAAAAAAATTAAAAAAATCCGGCTGAAAAATCAATTTTGATTAAACAATTTGTATGAAAAATATTTGCTATCAAACACTTTCAAAAGCTGGAAAATGGAAAAAAAATCATGGAAAACATGCCCAATAAAACAGGGAAATATTTTTCATGGAATTCAATTTGATTTTGTTTCACCATGACCACTTAATTTCATATAACATTTTACCATGACCCCTCAACTTCGTTTCATCCTTCGCAATAATTTTAAAAGGGTAAAACAATAACTTTATATTATATATATAAAAAAATTGAAAAAAAATTTATTTTAAATTTAGAGTCCGTTTGATTCGAGTGAATTCCATGGAAAATGTCACATCTAAGAAATTCGATTTCTACTTTGGCTATTTGATACGAAAGGGGAAATGAAATTCGAATTCCAAGGTATAAACAAGCATTTTTTGGCCAATTTTATAGAAAATGCATTCCTATGATTTTTGTGGTTTTTTCTTTTCCAATTTACATGGAATTTGTTTCTCTTTTTCCACCTTTGCAATCAAACGAGCTCTTAGTGGAAATATGAAAAGAAATTAGATGATCATTGTGAAACGTTATATAAAATTATGTAGCTATGGTGAAATAAAACCAAATTGGGTGGCTATAGTGACACTGAGTATAATGTCAGGTGGTTATAATGAAACAAAATCAAATGAGATGGCCAAGATGACGCTAAGTATAAAGTTGGGTGATCATTGATGAATTTAACACTTGATTTTCATTGATTTCAAAAATTGTTTTTGAAATGATTAATTGATATTGTCAACACATAATTAGTAAATCTAGTTTGTAAACTTAATTTGTACAAATTGCATGACTTTTCAAAAAAATAATTGAAGCAAATACGACCCCAAAAAAGGAATATTACCTCAAATTGAAAGCTTGTTTGGGAGTGATTATGAGAATTAATTTTTTAATCGTTGGAGAAAAATGGGGTTCACCTGTAAGAGAAGAAGTCAAATATGACGGTTAAAATAGTGAAATAACGATCAAAAAATTAATTTTTTGGGGCAAAAAATCGCCCCCAAACAAGCTGTGATTCATTTATCGAAACCAGCCAAAATGCTATTCAACTCTCTCCGCCAAAAAAAATGTCAGCGTTAGAGAAATCATTCAGAACATTGATAGATCGATCAGTACCTATTTTATCCATTTGGCCCCTATTAAATTACATTCTATTTTTTTCTCTCATATTTTTAACTACACAATCTCTCATAAAATAATATTACACGTATATTGAAAATTTTTCCTTCTTTTTCAACCAATCATTTAAAAAAAAAAAACACCATTCCACCAATTTTAGAAAAATATATTTTTAAATAGTGAATTGACGTTATTTTAACAACACATTTTTCAATAACATAATATTACACGTAAATCTAAAATTTTTCATCATTTTTTAACAACATATTTTTTATCAATCTACTATTTCAAAATATGCTCTTTAAAAACAACGTGGTTCAAACACACATAATCTCGGAAAAATTTGAAACTTTCACTATCCATCACTTTCCAAGGGAGAAGATCCAACCTTTAAGACTAGACCACCAGAATCAACAAACTCTCTCTCCAGAAAGAAGCCAGATTACACAATCCGAAATTTCACAAAAATATTGTGACCGAATATTTAAAAGAACTAAGGCCTTGTTTGATTGGCTTTTTTTTTTTTTTTTTTTTCCATTTCCTACTTTTTCCTTGTTTTTTACCCCAAATTTTCTTGGCAATCCACTCGCGCGCCTCTTTTCTTGAATTTTGTGGAATTCCAATTTCCGGATACTGTAGGGTTTTTCTTTTTTTTCTTTTTTTTTTTTACAATGAAAACAAATTCTAAGAATTATTGTAAAAAAATATTTCTCTTTAATTGACAATTTTCATGTAAAACAAAATCAAACGAATACTAAAAGATAGATGATTTTCTTGAATTTTTTATTTTATTTTTTTGACAATGGAAACAAATTTTATCCCCAATAACAGTAAATTATATCCATTTAATTGACAATTTTCATTTAAAACAAAGTCAAACGAACACCAAAAAATACTTATATTTCAACATTTTTCACGTAAAAAATTATATTAATCAAACACAATAATTGACAATTCCCAAGAAAACAATTTCTAGACAATTCATTACCTGGAATTTGTTTTATTTCTACCCAAATTCCATTTTTATAATCAAAGGGATCTAGGAATTTGGGCAGAAAGAAAACGAATTCCAAGTAATTGAATCGGGAATTGTTAATTATTGTGTTTGATTAATATAATTTTTCACGTAAAAAATGTTGAAATAGAAATATTTTTTGGTGTTCGTTTGATTTTGTTTTACATGAAAATTTTCAATTAAAGGGATATAATTTACTGGTGTTAGGGATATAATTTGTTTCCGTTTAAAAAAAAAGTCAAGAAAATCATCTATCTTTTGGTATTCGTTTGACTTTATTTTACATGAAAATTGTTAATTAAAGTATATTTTTTTACAATTAGGGATATAATTTATTTTCGTTGCCAAAAATAAAAATAAATAATAAATAAATAAATCGACAGCATAGCCTAGAACTTGAAAACCAAGAAAATGTCCATGTGACAATAAAACCAATTACTTGAAAAAAGATATGCTATCAAACAGTCAAAAAGTGGAAATTGAAATTTGAATTTCATTTTCCATGGAAAATAATAGTCTATCAAACGGACCCTAAAGAAAACTGCAAGCAAAGTACCTAAATGTGTATGATGCAAGGCTATTGTTTCAGTATCGGATAGGGCTGGACAAATCTCCCGAACCGAATCGATCGAACTGAACTGAACCCGACGGTTCTTGTCAAATTAAATACCCGAACGGGTATCTATATTGAGAACCGACGGGTACGATTTGGTTCTCGGTTCTAGACCAAGAACCGAAGAACCGAATAAGAACCGAATCTTTTTAATTTTTTTTTATATTGAATAAATCAAATTATTTTAATTTTAATTTTTTCTAAACAAATTAACAATTTCTAAATCCAAAATTTTGGCCCAATAATTTGTTTCATTTCTAATTTTTGGCCCAATTATCCCTTTTATTGTCTCATTTTTTAGTCCAACAAGATCCAACTTACTAAATAACCCTAAACACCTACACTAAAGTGCATAACGCTGCCTCGACCTCACAGCCTCGCTGACATTCCAAAACATATACAATCGTCGACCGACGTTGTGATCTCCGATTGAAGCTATGACCTCCTCTAATTGAAATTTTGACTATAACGATCATTTGAACAAGGTAATCTACGAGTTTCTGACATTTCAAAACCATTGAATGTGTCATTAGTTATATTTATATAATGTTGTTATAAATGTTAAAAAAATTAATTATAGTACAGAACCGAACCGAACCCGAACGGTTCCATAATTATATTTGGATCCGACGGTTTCATTTACTAAATACTCGAAAATTTTAATTTGGTTCGGTTCTCTTTAAAAACGAACCGAATTGACCTGCGCCCACCCCTAATATCGAACACGTTTTGAAGATAAAAATAAAATTAAGAAACATTTCCATTTGGAATAGAAGTTGATGCCAATGCTCTCTTATTTGAATCTTTAAAGAGAAAACCGGGAAACTCAAGCTTAGAACCAGAGGTGGCCCTGAGATTTTGGATGTCCTGTGCGAGATTTAAAAATGACGCCCCCTCAAGTAACTAAAATATATAATAAAAAAAATATTTTAATATTATTATTTCATTACAAAAATATGATTTTTAAATTTATTTATTTATTTATTTTACATACATGAACAAGAAAAACATAAATAAAGCTCAAGAGCATCTCTTGAACTTCATGAAAATTCATATTTCATCAACAAATAACCATCCAAGCCACTAGCCTATTCGTGCAATTCCATATAAGCAAACTTTGAAAAAAATTATATATTAAGTGTAAAGTTTGAAATGCAACAAATCATGTAAAAATATTTCTTTTCGCATTTTTAAAAGCAAAATCACTAACTAAACTTTTGTAATCAATATTTTCTAAAAAGTCTTGCTCAATATTTTTTTAGTGTTCAACTTTT